TACAGGAGATGAGAAGGGATGGGATGGGGGATGCTGAATCGGATACAGGGGATGAGAATGGATGGGATGTGGGGATGCTGGAAATGATACGGTGGGTGCTGGAGGGGACGTTGGGATGCTGAATGGGATTTGGGGATGCAGGATGGGATGTGGAGATGCTGAACATGAAACGGGAATGCTGAAAGGGATACAGGGGATGCTGAATGGAAGGGATGTGGGGATGCTGAATGGGATACAGCAAACGCTGGAGGGGACGTTGGGGTGCTGAACGGGATTGGGGATGCAGGATGGGATGTGGAGATGCTGTACGTGGTACAGGAACGCCGAAATACGGGGAATGCTGAAATGGATGGGATGTGGGGATGCTGAATAGTTGGGATGTGGGGGATGCTGGATGGGATCCCGGCAGGACGCTGCCGGTCCCTCCGGCCGTACCTGGGTCTCGGAGAGGCTGAGCGCCGTGGCCAGCTCCACCCGCTCGGGCGTGGAGAGATATCGCTGGATCTCAAACCTCTTCTCCAGGCCGGAGAGCTGCGAGTCGGAGAACACGGTGCGAGCTTTGCGGCGGCGGCAGTGCTTCCCGGGCAGCTCGGCGTGAGCGTGGTGCTGGAAAAGGGCTGTGGGGGGACACACGGCAGAGACCAGGATTGCGGTGGGACAAGGAGCTGGGACCGGGGGAACCCCTTGGGAAACACCCGGGGAGGCTGCGGCGGCTCGGGATGAACTCTCCCCCTGCCTCCTTTAATTTTTTTTTAATATTTTCTCGTTAATTTCGTTGTTGAGGATGGTTTACTGGTTTCATTTGGGGGATCTGGTTGCGGTGAAAACACGGAGCTTTGCCAAAGCTCCGAGCTACCCTGGGAAGGAGAAGGCAGCTCGGACAGTGCCCGCAGTGCTGGCATCGGAGGGGAGACGAGGATGGAGAAAAAAAACCCGGCAATTAATCCACAACGAAACGGGTTGGGAAAAAAAGAGGGAAGACCTGGAAAAGGCTAGGAGGAGGAGAGAGATCCCCCACGGCCCCATTGACGCACAGGTTGGGCTGCAAAGTGGGAAACTTTGGGGATTTTTTTTCCTTCCAAAGCAAGGAACGGGCCTGGGGAAAAGCAGGGATGCGGGAAAGGAGCGGCACAGCCAGAGTGATGCTGCTGCAGGCGGAAAAACGAATCCCGGTCCCAGTTTGGAGGGACAACGCAAGGAAAAATAGATGTCAACGGTCCAAAAATAAAAGCGATTCCAAAAAAATTAAATTTAAAGGGTAAAAGGGAAGGAAATCCTCAAGATTTCAGGCACCCGAATGAATGAGAAGCCGCAGCGCGGTGGGCTCTGAAGCAGCCGGGGCAGGACCGGGGGATGCTGGCGGCTCTTATCCGAGGGATGCAGCCTGGATGTCGGGGAGGGATGTAGAAAGATGCCCGAGAGGCTCTTCAAGTCCCCACCCGAGTCCCCACCTGGACACCCCAATCTCCTCAGGTTCCTGCTGCACTTACCCGAGGCGGTGAGGAAGTAAGGGTGGTGGTGATGATGCTCCGGCTTGTGCAGGGCAGGGTGCGGGTGAGGAGCCAGCAGGGTCGGGGTTGGCATCAGGGGGTACCCATAGTCCAAGAGGGGAACGCGGGAGGCCAAGGAACCAGCGAAGTGCTCGGGGGGAACCTCCCGCAGGGGTTTGGGTTTGTGCAGCAGGATGTCCTCGATGAAGAAGGAGGTGGGCCTGGGAGCCGAGA